GGGGGGGGTGTGGGGGGGTGTGTGCCGCTGACTCCACAACACATATACCTCACCACTGTGTCTTTGTATTTAATAAAGCGATTCCAATTCCCAGGACAATGTCTCTACCCAGATTTGTGGGTGGCTCAGAGCTGAGGGTAATATTATGCAGGGCTTCTCTCCCTCCTTTCCAGCCTCACAGAGTGGCTATTGTGACTAATAGCATATTAAAGTGGCTGCTTGAGGGTCACCTTTTTTACCCCTATTCAGGTTCAACTCACAAGAACTTGTCTATTTTCAGTTCTAATCTTTGCGGGTTTAAAAAGATAAATTTTGTGCAGACAAAAAACAATAGTAGTCTTTTAAGCAGAAATACCAAAGCAGAAAAGAGGAAGTGCAAGCCAAAAAGAATAGAGAATGCATTTAGGAAAGTTTGTTTTAGAGCTTGGATACACTCAACACAGAGCACCAAGCCAATTCTCTTGTACAGCAAAGCTCTGAGAGCAAAGCAGAGACCAGGGAGTTCTCTACGCTCACTGTAGCAGCTCCTACACTGTGCCATTTGCTTTGACTCCACTCACTTATGCTTTACTATTACCCTCGCAGCAACTGGGACCTTGTGATTTGTCTGGCAAGCTGCAAAGCTCCTTAGAGACAAGTACCTTCTGCAAGAGAGAGATTGAAAAGCAGAGCAGAGCTAAAGGAGCCCGAGATGGGGCAGGAGCCTGCCAGGGTGCCTCTTACCTGTGCCCCCTCCCTGCTGAGATGCACCATCACAGCAGAAGACTCATGGATCTCACTCCCGTCATACACCCCACAGCCAGCCAGCACGACAGCCACTCTCTTCCCCATGGTCACAACCAAAGCAGGAGGATTCCCTGGAGAGTCCCAAATTGCTGTGCATCTCTGTTCACTGCCTGGAGCCTTTTATAGCAGGATCCCTCCCCCAGGAGCAGGTGGGGCCAGGAGGGTTGGGCTGAATTTCTTACTGGCAAGAAGGTTTTATTTCCAGTACCACAGGCAGGGCATGTAAATATTATTTGTTTCCTCAACTGACTGCTCCCTTTCAGATCTTCTTCCTGGCATGTTGTCTCCAAAGCATCCACAGCTGATATGACCTGTTCAGCAGAGCAGCTATGTTTTTCCTTCTCAACTGTCAATTTTCTGTTCTATTTCGGACTGAAGTACTAAAGTTTTTGCACATAAGATGGTATGAAAGGGAGCCTGTCCAGAGCAAGTATTCAAGCCAGTGCATTCCTCTTTGTGCCCCATTTTTTAAACCCTATACTGCATAGGCAGCCTCCATCTTTTAACACCAAAATTTCCTTTTCTGACCTTAAATGTTCTTATCCTCATATCCCATCTCCCAAGAGCAGACATTTTGCACTCCCTTGTAGTTTTTTCCTGGCCTTTGGGTCCTGAGGTTAGAAATTAATAACTTGATTCTTCATCAACAGCACAATCTCTCCATTTGCCAGGAAAGTGGTGTCAGGAACTGGCTGATCCCTGACCTCTAGGGGCACAAGGCCACAAAATCCACAGCATGTGATGGGGAGATTCCCTTGCTCATGCAGAGACTTGTTCTTCCTTGTCCTTGATATGCTCACACGTGAGATGATTATGTCCCCCTCTATTGCACTGTTATGATAACTGTGGCCTGTTGAAGTTGTCTTGCCATTCTGCAGAGAACAAAAAACTTCATGCAACATGACTGAAGAATATTTTTCAGGGGTTATTTAGAAGAAATTTTCCTTGGGTCTCTATGATATTTGGAAGAGACATGATATGTCTGTATATATTGAAATAGCGTTTTGAAAAGTTCATTAGTCATAGCAGGTGTGAGGAAGATACTGCTAATGCATTTGACTTAATTTATTGCATGCATCTCTTAAAACTAGTGATATCAGGCACCACATACTCCTAGCTGCTACTTACACAAGCAGGAACAAAAAGCACGTGAGAAAGGAGAAGGGACTTGTAGTCCAGTTATCTAACACATTTCAGTTACTTTTATTACCCAGAATGGGAATTAAACTGTGAGATATATGTGGAAAACACCGAAAGCCTTTTCACTGCTATTTGTTTTGTTATCTAAGGTACTCTAACAGTAGTTTAGAAATGTATTATTTCCTCTTGCATGAAAAAACAGCTGAATCATGCTGCATCTTGAAAAGATAGTTTCTTCCTCCTTCAACTGTTTAAGAAGCAGTCCCGTTAATGAGGGAACAAAGAGAGCCAGAGGCTGATGATTTAAACAAACTTACTGTTTGCTGCAAACCACATCATTTAGCTCTGCCTGTTGCAAACTGACTGAGCTGGTTCCCCTGATATATTTAGTGTAACTGGACAAACCAGGCTTGTTCCAATGCTTGCTTCCCCATGTAGTAAGATCTATCTCAATAGACATATTGAACCTAAAGATCTATCTATCTGCAATAAACATATTCTTGACAAATAATACTGTTCAGCGGAGTTATTCCATTCTCTGTGGAAATGTCTGCACACACTACAGTAGAGACATTGGGTTTTAATATTAACACCTTGCTTTAATCTGCATTAATATTCTAGTGAAGATGAGTGTGAAGGAACCCTGTTGCCTCAAAGCTCTTTTTGAAGGGTGTACACAGTTAAAGATAAATGTCCTCCAAAGCACTGAAGAAACCAGGAAAGTTTGGGAGTGATTATAGTGATCCAGCTGCACAATGGAAGCATGACATCATGCTCCAACTGGCTCAGAGAGCAGGACCTGTGGACCCTGACAGTCTGTGGTTGTTCTGGATGCTGCTACAGATCTAATGCCTCTTGGATGATCCTGGAGGCCTGTCTTTGAGCTTCAGTCTGTGCAGCTCTAAGTCCCATTTCCAAGAGTTTTTCTGTCCTCCAGCCCTGGCTGTGGAGCATAACTTATGGGGGAACATAGAGCAGGATCTGCCAAGAGGAGTATCACAGCTTGCTGCTGTAGGGCTCTGCAGAGTCATCCTTGACCAGCTCAGTTATATTAGTGTGAAGCTCTTTACACTGTTCTGCATCTTCTATCTTGTCAAGAGGCTCAAAGTGAAATTAACTTTAACTTGGGCTGATGGAAACAGAAGCTGAGTCCTTCACAGGAATAGGCCCTACATTGGTCCATTGCACACAAACAAAACAATGGAGGAATGTGCATAAGTGCAGACAAGTGTTGCTTCTGTTTTCCATCAAAACTCTGTTAGCTCTCACAGAACAGTAGAACAGTTCTCTGCCTAATTAGCACTTGCCGTGTGACCAAAAAAGATTGCGAGGCCAGTGTCTGCTGCTTTCTGCAGCCTCTTCTCCACTGGTAAAGACCTTTATGCCTTGATCACATATTCTCCATGGGACACAGTAGGAAGCTGTCAGTAGGTCCCTCATGTTGCCTTTGGGACACAGCAGTGATCATGGCAATGACTGACACTCACTGACTACATGGTTCTCTTGGAAGACCAGCAAGGCTCCTCTAGATTTATCCTCACACCAATGGTCTCCAGACTGCATGTTTGCATTGACCCGTCACTCGTGAAAACCACTTAGGAGGAGTTCCCTGTGAGTGTTATGCAGAGCAGTTGGATTGGGTAGACGTGGAGTGACACATGGACAGAAGTCACCTTTAAGGGAATGGCACTGAATCTTACCTGTGCTTGCCCAGCACAGGACAGTGGTGCCAGGCATTCATAGCTGTGTCAGGGACAAACAGCAGGGCCATGGCCAGTGTTAGGAGAAATAACAGGTCCCCAAGGAGTTCCTAGGCTTGCAAAGTACTTATTTGCTCCAGCAAGATGGATTCCTTAAAAAAACTTAAATTTATCCAGTGTAATTTCCTCACTGGCAGTAGCAAAAAGGCAGTAATAGTAATAAACCCTCAGCGTTATTTTTCAAGTGTCTTTTTTAACAAGGGTTAATCAACAGTAAAATTAAAAGGCCCCTGGAGGGAGCTACCAGCGGTCTGTGCTGACTCACAGACTGAAATTTATTGCAAGGAACTCGTTTGCGTTTCCTCCCGCATGCAGAAAGTAATACTAACAGAAGATGTTTGTAGGGAAAAGGGGTGGAGAGCAGGGAGGAACGCAGGCCAGTAGAGTTGATTTGGTTATAAAGAGCTAGGGAGGAAAGAGAGGCAGCATTTCAGCCCACATCTGGGTCTTCAGCAGACTCTGCAATGGCAGACAGAAAAGCTGAGTCACTGCATTCTTCCATAGGGCTCTTGGGCATTTCCGCAGGTAGGGATTGAGTCTTCTTGGCATGGGAGGATGGGATTGGGACTAGCTTTCGTGGACAACCCCCTTTTCAAAGGGGGCTAAAGAGTCTGTTTATTCTGAATTTTCTCTGCCCTGGGTAAAGCTTTTAGATCCAGAGATCCCTGTGCCTATTTCAGCAGCCAACAAGATATTTGTCTTGGCTTTAAAGTGCTGACGTGAACTTTTTATTTGATCCATCCTGGGTGGGAAGCAAATCAAAAGTTTTTGCTAGTCATTTTCATAAATGATCTTTATTTGGATGCACTTTCCTCTCTTTTCCTGTTCTAGCTGCTTTCCCTGCAGCTCTGTTTTCTGTGTTCACTCCCTTTCATTTGTTTCTTCAAGTTTCATCTTTCTGAGTGCTGCTCCTTTTCATTTTTAGGCTAGTTTTCTGTAGGCACAATGCTTTTGCGATCATTTGTAGAGTGTGCATGTGTCTGTCTGCCTTTTGTGTAGTTGGAATCAGAGAGCTGATTTTTATTTTTATCTGACAACAGAGGAGCCCTTTCAAACATGATTAAGTTCAAGATTCTTAAAATTAGGGACCCAGAAAGAGGACATAAACCAAGTTACACACACACCCCCCAGCTCCTTAGCTTTCATTATTTTCAGATCCTGTACTGCTGTTTTTTCTCTATTCCCTGCTCTTACTACTCTGGTTCTCTCCAGAGAGAAAAACATTGGGGTAAAGTTTACAAGCTCTTTCTTTTTTCCATCTCCCTTGTCACCCCCAGGATCACTCTTACTGGCAGTGCACTTCTACAGTTTACCCAGAGCAGCCCCTCTGATCCCCAACACAGCTCTAGGAGTCCTTCTGTTGATTTTATCATCTCTTTTGGCATATGCAGGTAAGACTCAAAGTGTGTCCAGCTTCAAGGCCTCCCCCTTCTATAGCTTTGCATGTTTTTGTTCTGCTTTGCCAACAGGTTTGTACAAACCGTCAGCCTTGCCAGACCACCGATTCATTCTCCTGGAGCAGTATGTCAGCACAGCAGATTTTTCCTATATAGGCAACCAAAGAAATCAGTGTTAGTTTTGAACCAGTATCTCTGAGAGTTTTAACAGACTGAATACATGATTTCTCTAAATACAGTTCCCAGGCTCTCTGAGAGTACTTTAGGCATCCATGGATTGAAATGGCATGTCAATGTGTAAATGCCAAGAGATCTACTTATCTGAGAGAAAAAAAATCACTAGCTATAACAAAGTCCACACTTCTTAGAATGAATGCTGAGTTATCTCTCCTTTTTAACTCAAGCAATGAGGACATGGAAATCCCAGATTTGATGCTGGTATTCTTTCCTCTACAAAGCAGACAGGTTGGGAGAGACACTATATATTTTAACCCATAAAATGTAGCTCTACCTCTTCTCTCAGTCAGTGGTGGCACAAAGCATTAGTAGAAAGCACTTAGAAGCAGCTGTATTGATGGGACTGTAGGGAATGGACCACTGGGCAGGCAATGTTTCACAGCTGATGGGAATCAACCTAGGGAGTCCTCCTACCAAAGGCAGGAATTCCTGTGCTCCCTTGTTCCAAGAGATGCATACCTGTGGAAGTACAGAAGTCCCCTCTGTAGCCTGGGGACTTACTCAGCAGAGTTCTTGCTTCCCTTCCCAACTTGAGGCTGGCTCACAAGGCTGTATCAATTTGAGG